GGTCATCTCCCACCTATAGAAGTTTCCGACCACAAATTTCTGCTTCCCAGCGTTCCTCAGCAGTATATTTGAGAACCAATGATTCCCATATTTGCTTGGCCTCTTTGTAGACGCTGTAGATGTCAAACAGATCATTAGAGAGTGTACTGATCAAGGTGTGCCTGCATACTTTGTTGGCCTGGTGCCACATATCCTTCTGTCCTTGATCAGCATCTGCAGCAGGTTCTGATTGAGTTAGCGCATTGACAACTCCATGCATGTCCAGAATTGTGTAGACACGTTCTTGCCACCGCCTAAAGTTGCTTCCATCAAACATTTCTATCTTGGATGTGTCAGGGAATGGCCTAGCAAGCGGTATGGCTGCCGGGACGTTCAGGGGAACGCTGACAGGAACAGCACTGGAGCCAGCAGCATCGTTGTTTGCAGCCATTGTTCAGGGTATCTCTCAAGATTGTTGGCGGCAGCAAATGAGGAATAGCAAATCCGGTTCGAGTCGCGTCACAAGGACACTGTCCTTGAGAGATATTCCGCAACCCCTCGGTGTAACAGGCAGCGGCACTCCCCAGGATCAAACGAACCCTTCCTGCGAAGCAAGGTAGCAGAACAGCGAAAGCAATTGTAACAGCAAACACCCGCGGGAGAGAAGAGGAAGAGGATGGAATAGCGTGTCTTCACGCTGCCTGGACAGTCCCTTATATAGGCGCGAATGGCCACATCACCGGAGGACGCATCCCTCTGTTTCGCCGAGCGGGTACGACCGAAGCAACGTAAGGTTCCGTTGGAGACGGAACGACGCGAACGTTGGTGCACACAACGTTCGCCTACACCCCGCGAGACGCGTCCGGTCGGCCACAAAACGAAACAATAAGCCTCTTGACTTTTAACAGGTCCAAAATAAGGCTTTTCTGGTAAGCATAATTTTATTAAAAAATATTCAACAAAGTTTAAAATAATTTTCGTAAAATGAGGCTTTACCGCGTTTAATTCACGCGCAGGGGGGGGAATCGCCGGTTTACAACTGCGTTTCCCTCCTGGTGGCCTGTTGTTGTGTGCGCGAGGCCCACTTCCCTCTTGGCCCATTTACCCCCCCAAGGATGCTTGATCTCATTTATACACTTAGACTTCTTCTCATCTTTCCCATGTGGGACTTTATTTGACACACATATTGCATTATTTCACAACACTTGGTTCTGCTTTCTGCAGTGTCGGAATTATGACAACAATGATACGTGATTATCAGCCATTTGGATGATGCTAAACTTAGTGGTTGTGGTTGTCTCTGGCTTTCATGCTTTTGTTTGCTGAATTTATAGAGTCAACTCATTTGTTCTGCTCAGAAAATTTTGCCACATCAGATGTTGTATTTTTTTTCAGAAGTAGTCTTCCCTTTTTCTTTCTCACCACAAATATATACACACACACGTATATATATAGTTGGAACAGTCATCAAATCTGTTTGTTGTATCTCTCTCAGAGCAGTGGATGAATTCCTTGTTGTCTAATGATTGAATGGAGTCTTTATTGCTCTTTTATTTTTTATTTTTATAAACAGAAGCAACCACCGTCACTGATTTTCTCAAGTAATTTAGCGTTTGAAATCCAAAAGCTAGAGATAAAAGTGATGTACTTATTTATAGAGATCAAGGAAGAAACCCAATGAAGCTAGTATTGAATTGCTATCTGCATACTTCCAAAAAATCGGTTTCATAAGTTTATTGATCATTAATCAATTGTCAATTCCTCCATTCCTTCCAAGTCTTTGAGAAAGCCAAAATGAAAAACATGACATGGCACAATCAAAAAAAAAAAGTTGTATTATTATTGTTGTTGTTTTCTTAACCCTTGTCACTGCAAGCTAAGCTAAATTGAGTATTTTGCTGGAATTTATAACGAAACAATTGAGAAATTAAATTAATTGTACGATAATTTTTGAAGAATTTATGAGACGTGAAGAAAAAAAATCCTTAACAATAGCATCCCAAAATTCGACATATTTACAGAGATAAACTAATAAAAATACCTATAAAAATTAAAATGATCATCAAGTCAATCATAAACCAAGTTTATTTTTTATTTGTCAATGTGAATGTGAAATATAATTAATAAAAGATTCAGTATTAAAAACTTTTGCTTGAGTAGCAAGTGTGTGAAATAGGGAAATTGTTTTAATTCAAAGGTAAAATTACAATTAGTTTCCAGAGAAAGAAAATAATTACAAAATAAATGTTAGAAGTTATCATTTTCTATTCTAAAACTTATCAGCTGCTTAGGTTGTTATTAGAACTTTTTAGTAATTATTATTTTTAAGACCTCACTGTAATTCTTCTTAATTTAAAGTTGTCAAGTATAATTATATTAGGCAGCCTATTCTTGGCCAAGACTATAATGAATCCTACTAAGCTATTGTCCCCAAACAGAGGCTAGAAACATGATGATTTTGGAAAACATTGTGATGTGCTGAGTGTGAAAGCATCTTTCATGTGCCCCAATTCGCGAAAAGCAACATCGTCTTCCACCACAAATATCATAAATTAATGAAGTATTTAATTTTTTAACTATTTTGTGAGGGTGAGTGCGAAACAGGGAAGGCATTTTTTATGCACCCAAATTGTCAAAAGAAGCAGACCATTGTCCCATGATTACCGTCAAATGTTATTTTTAATTAATATCATCAACTTTTAAAAGTTAGAGGTATTTCCTTAAATTTTCCTCCCGAAATGAGCGTTGTTCTTCCTTAGTCATCTTTATGTATTCTTTATATATTGTGTGAATATATATATAACTATAAGGATCAATTATATATAAAATAAGAAAATTACGTCATAAAAAAAAAAGAAATTTGTGCAACTTTAGTTGATACAAGGATTAATATAATTTTTAATCCATAAAATTTGACCCCATTTTGGTTTGAGTCGTTGAAATTTGAAACTAAAAGCTTTAATCTTTAAAATTTGACTTCATTTTGATCCATTTAAGGATTTTTTAGTCTTTGAAATAGTGTTTTTTAATAACCCAAAATGAGGTTAAGCTTCAAATATCAAAACTAATGGTTTCAAATTCTAGGGACCGAAACTAAAATGACTCTAAATTTTAAGAATCAAAATCACTGATTTCAAATTTCATAGAGCAAAACCAAAAAGACGTTAAATTTCAGGGATAATGAAATGGTATTAACCCATGATATAATATGGTTCAGGGACTAAACAGGTAATAAAACATTAGTTATATGGAAGACTGAAAATCGATTAGATGTCAATTTCCAATGTGCCACTGCATTTTAAATAAATGAGGAAATCACTGAGTAAAAAATTGTTCTTGCAAGCAGTGACATTAATGTGATTCAAGCGTGCAGAAACTATTGAGCCAACTTAAATAACTCAATATAGTATTAGTCTCAGGCAGAGTATGTGAAGAAGACGCACGAATATGATTATCAAAAGATTGAAAGTAATAAATTATTAGCCACATTGAACTCCAACTGATTTTGTCAGTTGAGAAGAGCCACAAGGACAGTAAAATTCTTCCAACAAATATTTACTATTCCTCCTATCTTTAATTTAAATATAAAATCTATTTTGTAATATAAATTGTATTATAAAGCAGGCCTTATATTAAGAATATGAGAAGTATTAGTTGCATGCTTAAAATACGAACATAAAATCTTTGGTTAAACCAGCACACATGGCTCACTATCAGCCAATTAAATTACACGCTTGCTGTTTGAAAAGAAAACATTTGACTATAAAGCAATCAAGTCAACAAATCAATTATTTATTTGATTTTTATTTTCTTTTTGGAGCATGACAAGTGGAGAAAACGCGCATAAGCTAGCCATTTTAAATTATTGAAGTTGCTTTTTAATAACGAAGACTCCTCGAATTGATAAGCAAGTTTCCCAGAAACATTCTTCACTTCTTAGCTTAAAAGCTGCCTTGCTGTCTACTCAGACATCACTTTTGCTCTTAATTTGCAAGAAATAAGGTTTCATCGATTCAGGTATGATGATCTTCTTTCTCATTCCTTACTATTCATCACGTCAGGAAAAGCCATAATGTTCCTGATGAGTTCCATATGTATATGATTGTGTTCTTGCTCTGTTTCGCCATCTTTCGTTTTCGCTTGTTTGAATGTTATAATGAATCAGCGTCAATATACAAATATTTAAATAGAATTTTCTGTGAGATAGCACTGCTTACTTGAAGGGACTGGAGCATGGAGTTCTTCGAGGCACAGGTGAATGAATTACTAGTGGGTGTGGCCCTCTCTTTCGTAGCCATTGGGATCGCCGCTTTCTATCTCTTCTTCTATTCTTCCCGCAAGAACACAGAAGGTTTGATCCCTCCAGGTATGATAAGGAAGTTTCCCAAAACCCACCTTATTCGCTCAAAAACTACATTGCTGTCTACTCAGACATCACTTTTGCTCTTAGTTTGCCAGAAATAAGGTTAGATCTATCCAGGTATGATGATCTGCTTCCTGATCTGTAATATGTATATAGTCGAACTACTCATGCATATGTACATATGTATCAGGAAGAGCCATAATGTTCCTAATGAGTTCCTTATGATTGTGTTCTTGGTTCTTGCTCTGTTTCACCATCGTTCATTTCCACTTGTTCGAATTTTATGATGAAGTAGGATCTACATCATATTAAGTCCCCTTCAACCCGTTTCAGATTATAATTAGTATTAGTATTTTTGAGATGCTCAACTATTGTTTGTTAGAGGAGAACTATGAACTTTTCTCCGCCTAGTTACTTACCTTTATTTCATTTATTTCCTGTTTATTGGTCCGAACTATAATTGTTAATGAGCTATCCTGTTCTTCTCGCGTTGACATCGCCGTGCTAGATAGAAATTGAATTCACTTGGGAGTAGACATATAATATTTGAGCAGTTATATGCTTATTAGAATGTTATAAACGGGAGCTTGAGGGGAGAGATTAGCATCAAATTTATTAGGAATAATTAACACCCTATGGTTTTTGTCTATATCCAGTAATGGCAACTTTTACGACTTCTCCCAGCGTTCGGCAGGAAAAATATGATGTTTTTGTAAGTTTTAGAGGTCCAGACACCCGACGTAGATTTGTTAGCCATTTGAGAAAGCAGTTTCGACAAAAGGGGATAGAGGTTTATGTTGATGAGACGGCAGAGAGAGGAGATACAATATCCCCTGCACTTTCGGAAGCAATAGAAAGATCAAGAATTGCGCTGGTGATATTCTCAGAAAACTATGCTTCTTCAAGGTGGTGCTTAGAAGAGCTAGTGAAAATCATGGAATGCAGGCGAGACCATAGTCAGACTGTAATTCCAGTTTTCTATGATATAGACCCATCACATGTTAGGCATCAAAGAGGGTCTTATGAAGATGCATTTGTTCAGCATCATAACTGCAAAGTTGGTTCAAGGAAGTTGCAAGATTGGAGATCGGTCTTGAAAGAAACTGCAGACATATTTGGTTATCATAACTCCTCAAATTTTCAGTAAGATGTTTCCTCTTTCTATTTATTATTAGATAAATCTTGCCACAGTTTATGAATTATATATTTTTCCCGTAGACATTTAAAAATAATTATATCTAATGCTTATATTATTGATAATTAAATCTATGCATTTATGATTTTTAACAATGTACTATGTGATTTTTTTTTTTTTGAAAAACAACTTCTTTCTTTTAACACTTCAGGGATGAATCTGATCTTATTGACGAAATAATCAAAGATGTATGCAAAAAGCTAGAAGGTAAAGGTAAAGACACAGTGGAGCCAATGGAACATATTGGAGTTGAGAAAAATTTGACTCCTATTGAATTATTTATGAAAGATGAATCACATGAAGTTAGAGTTTTTGGAATTTGGGGTAAAGGAGGAATAGGCAAAACCACCTTAGCTCATGCCGCATTTGATAACTTTTACCACCGATTTGATAGGTCTTGCTTCGTCGAAAATGTGAGAGAGAAATCAAAAACGATTGGAACGAATTGTTTGCTTGAAAAAATTCTCTCTGTTCTACTAGATGAAGAAAAGCTCACAATGGTTGGAATGCCTAATGTTCAAAGGAGGCTACGTAGAACAAGAGTTTTTCTAGTTCTTGATGATGTTGACACCTCCACTCAATTAAAATATCTTAGTGAGGAAAATCTTTCATTGGGACCAGGTAGCAAAGTCATCATTACAAGTAGAGATAAGCATGTTCTTATTAGTGGAGGAGCTCATGAAGTACATGAGGTGAAAGAATTAAGTAAGGAAGAATCGCTTCAACTTTTCTGCCGACATGCTTTCAAGCAAGGCCATCCCGAACAAGGATATGAAAAGTTATCAATGCAGGTAATTGAATATGCAAAAGGTCTTCCTCTGGCATTAAAAGTTTTGGGCTCATATTTGAACTCTAGAGATACAAAAGCATGGGAGAGTGCCCTTAAAAAATTGAGAAAGTCTCCCCATGCAGAAATTCAAACTGTATTGAGGGTGAGCTATGATGGACTTGAGAAAACAGAAAAGAAGATATTTTTACATATTGCATTCTTCTTCAGGGGAGGAAAGAAAGAAGATATTATGAGGGTACTAGATGCTTGTAATGATGACCTCTATGTGGATATTGGAATAGAGAGGCTTCTAGATACAGCACTCATAACTACTTCAAATGATAGCAGAATAGAAATTCATGATATGCTACAAGAAATGGCTGAAGAAATAGTTCGTGAGGAATCTAGAGAGCACCCTGAAAGTCGAAGTCGATTAAATGATGCAAAAGAAGTTCAAGATATACTGGAAAATAACAAGGTAAATGAAGGATGCTTTAACTTCCTTTTTTATTCATTAAATTATTTCATTAAAAGAATTTTTACACGCCACTTGTTTAATATATTATTTGAATTTTGTTATGTTCTAGGGAACTGATATAATTGAAGGCATCGCATTGAACCCATGTGAGTTAAAAAGCAACATACGCCTGAGTGCTGACGGCTTTAGTAGAATGAGTAATTTAAAATTTCTCAAGATTGGTTTTCATTTTCAAGACAAATATCAAGTGGTTTGTCCTTTTGGTCTAGAGTCACTTCCTGATGAACTAAGATATTTTTGTTGGGAAAGTTATCCATTGAAGACTCTACCGCTTGGTTTTTGTGCAAAGAATCTTGTTGAAATCCAACTGCCTTCTAGCAATCTTGTAAAACTATGGGATGGTGCGCAGGTATGGCTATATATTAATGCACATTTCATTTCTTTAGTCTAATTGAATTATGAGGGCTTTTTTGGTAATTTTTCTCTTTTGATTGTCACAGGATCTTAAGAATTTGAAAAAAATAAATCTTGCCTGCTCGAAGTTAAAGGAGTTGCCTGATTTCTCCACGGCACAAAATCTTGAAATAATGAGCCTCAGATTTTGTGTAAATTTATGCAGTATTCATCCATCAATCTTGTCTCTTCCTAAACTTGTTTCTTTGGATCTAGAGGGGTGCCTCACACTAAAGAATCTTCATGGGAATAACCATTTGAAATCTCTCAAGGAACTCAAGCTGACGCACTGCTTTGCTCTCGAGGAATTTTCGGTGTCATCAGAAGAAATGAGAAGCTTACATTTGAATAATTCAGGTATCAAAACATTAAACTTGCCATTTGGACGGTACAATAAACTTGAAGAGCTATATCTCGGTGGGAGTCTCAGGAACTTTCAAGTAAATGAGCTAAGTTGCTTGACATCTCTTAAAATATTCTCTCTTAATCGTTTTGAAGGAAGAATGGTCAAATCACAATTATCCATTCTGTTTGATGCGTGTTGTTCGTTAGAAGAATTGAGGTTGACATACTGTAAGGTTTCTGAGATCCCTGATAATATCAGTGCCATGTCATTGTTGAAGATTCTATCACTACGAGGAAGCAGCGTTAAGAGTTTGCCAGATAGCATCAAGCGTCTTTCAGAGCTCAGAGAAATTGATTTGGGTAAATGCAAGAGGCTTAGGTCCTTACCAGAACTTCCATCTTCCCTTATTTGTTGTTATCTCAACGACTGCCCATCACTGAGACCTTCAGTTTCCCACTGATGCGAGCAATACATAACTCTAGTGAGGTTAGAGTCTGTTATCCCGGAAGCACAATCCCAGAGGGCTTCAAATATTCCCAGACCGCTAAGAGGTCTATTAGTATTGAGCTTGCACCAGCTTCTTCTGACCATTTATTGGGTTTCGCTTCTTGTTGCATTGTTCCCGCATTCATGATGACATCAGTTAAGAGAAAATTTGACTTTGAAGATGAAAAGATCTATTACAGGGGTGACGACCAAATTACTTGCCTCTGGTATGATCATGTTTTGTTATGGAATGATCCAGTGGATCGCATGTTGAAGGAAAACAAAAGAAGGCGATTTGATGAGGGCGGCACTTACAAGTTTGCATGTGAATTCTTCTTCGACGGAGATTCGTTCAGTCGTCTTGGGGATGAATTTAATGACGGGATAAAAAGGTGTGGAATTTGGCCAATATATGCATCAGAATTACAGGAAAAAGTGGAATTAAGGCTAAAGACAGATGCTGTTACAGGCAGTACCAGCCAACACCCTAATGTTGAAGTGTCCCAACATCAGCCAGCACGTTATTTCGTTAGGAGAAGCGCTCGTGTGCGCTAGAGGATAGGGAACTTGACCATGATGCCGTACTCTTTGAGAACCAAGAGAGGCCGAAATGAGCGCACGACCCCAAAGGATAACAAAAGAATCGCTCGATAATGCAATTCCAGGTCCAATAATTCTTTTAATTCTTTATGGCCTCCATCTATGTATGAAAAGAATTCTTTATTCTCATTGGGATTGGCCTTTGGGTCTCATGCCCGGCATCCATTAAAATAATAAATAAACATTAGAAAAATCTCCAACCCAAGCTACTACATGTATACGCAACCATCTCTAATTTCTATCCACAGGCATGTGCAACCAAAAATTGTAGAGATAATGGATTCATTGATTTTTAATTCCTTTAGTATGCCTTAGTCCCCTGCTCTCCCAGTTCGAGTTTCTTACCAAGAAGTTGATGCTATGGCTCGACTGTTGGTAAATATTATGTATACATGTAGATATTAACAATGTATAACAGTAAGTATTTTGGTCTTCTTCATAGCTGGTCAATTTCCAAGGTCCATGTGATTTTTTGCTCTGCTCTTCACTAATGTTAACGATATCATATAAGTCTGAATTGCATTCGTGCACATCTTGGAATTAGAGACAACCCTTGTGCAGAATAAAACTTAGAATGAAAAGAAATATAGATGCCATATATATTATGAACTACTCCGGTCCTAAATATAAGACTTTTTTTATAGTGTAAATTACATTACAAAAAGGGTCTTATATTTAGGATAAGAGGAGTATTTCACCTGTTTAACTTTGCATTTCACCTGTTTTTCATCACCGACAGGTCCAGGAGGATCGAGGCGTGCGACATGAATGTAACAATCATCAGCTTCATTTTACCAGTTGGCCAACAACTGAAGAGCTCTGAACCATTTGAGTTGTTAATTTAGGTGTTGTTTCTTGTCTTTTTCCTGGTAATTTGGTTCTGCTTCGTCTGCAGTATCACAGGTGGAAACTATTACAGTGTGGGAATGACAAGAATGATATGCGATTGTGAGCCATTTGGATAATATGCCAAACTTGGTGGTTATGTTTATCTTTGGCTTTGATGCTTTCGTTTGTTGACTTCAGAAAGTGAACTGATTTTTTATACTCAAAATTTTTTTGTCAAATCAGATATTATATTTGTTCAGAAGTAGTCTTCATTTTATCTTTCTCACCACTAACAGGTGATAAAATCATCAAATCTGTTTGTTGTATCTCATAGCAGCGTAATGAATTCCTTGCTATATGATGATCGAATAAAGTCTCTGTTTTTCCTTTCAACAGAACCAACCACTATCACTGATTGTTTCTGATAACATGGGTTTTGTCCCATTTCATATCCAAAAAGTAGAGATAAAAAAAATGTATTTATACATAGAGATCAAGGAAAGCCTATGAAGCTAGTACTGTATCGCCATTATACTTCCAAAAAATTGTTTTCATGAGTTTATTGATCGTTAATTTCACCTATTTCTTTGTTTATTGGCTTCATTTAAGTGAACATTATTTTTAAATAAATTTTTTGGATATTTATTAGTTGTCAATTTCTCAAGGCCTTTTGATTTTTGACTCTCGAGTCTTTGAGAAAGCCAAAATGAAACCATGACAGTATGCAATTAAAAAAACCGTATTATTCTTCTTGTTTTCTTACCCCTTGTCACTACAAGCGAAGCTAAACTGAGTACTTTGCTGCAATTTATAGTAAAATATTTCTCCGTTTCTAAATATAAGACCTTTTTTATAATATAATTTATACTATAAAAGGGGTCTTATATTTAGGACCAAAGGAGTAATTAAGAAATTAAATTAATTGTATGATAATTTTTGAAGGATTCACGGACACATTATGGGAAAGAAATCCTCGAAAAGGGAATATCAAATTTTGACGAAGCAACATTGAAAATTGAAATTTCCATCAAGTCAATCATAAACCAAGTTTATTTTTCATTTGTCATTGTGAATGTGAAATGTAATTAATAAAGGATTCAGTATTAAAACTTTTTGTGTGGGTAGCAAGTGTATGAAATAGGGAAAGTGATTTCATTTAAAATTGCCGGGTATAATTATATCATAGGAAGCCGATTATTGGCCAAAACTATAATGAATCCTACTAAACCATTGTGGGAAACAGAGACTAAAAAAGTGTTTGGATGGCATGAGAAGTGCTTCTGAAAAACACTTTTTCATAAATTAAAATAAATTCCTTTATATATTTACTTCATATATCGTAAAACTTATGAAATTATAGTTTCGTTTCTATCAAAATATCCCTTAAAAACATAATGATTATGGAAAACTGCTATGAGCCGAACCTCTAAGGCCCAATATTAACAGAACCAACTACTTAGGATTCGACCCAAGTCTAGCCAAGGCGGAGCAGAGGACGCGGGGTGAGAAAGAGCATAGGAAATTAATATTATCATCTTACTCAAAAAAAAAATAATATTATCAACTTTTGAAAATTAAAGGCACTTCCCTAATTTATGTAAGGTAGGTCCTGTTTCTGGTCAACAAATATTATTCTTGACGTTATGATTTTTTACCTTAAGCCGCCTATATTTAATAATTCTCAGATGGAAACCGGAATGTTGGATTAATGAGGATGATGTGGCATCCTACATAAAATCAAAAATAGCATCCGTATGGGTTAATAATTTTATATAATTATATATATTTTTCATAGAAGGGTTAGAATGCCATTTGTGTTTAAAAATAAGAAACCCTAATCTCTTTTATCTCCTTACTGCGGGCTAACTCAACTTTCAATTCGTAAAAAGAACCTCTCGTTGGGCAGATTAACATTTTGATTTTCAAAGTGTTTGTGTTTTCTTTAGTTGCCTGTACTGGGTTCTGCATTGGATCAATGTTCATGTCCTCATGGAATTATCTATTTGCACTTGTCTAGTCTTTGTGCTTTATTCGATCCCGATTTCAGTCAATCACCCATCGATGGTGGCGTTGTGGTTGATGGCGGGCTGCGGCACGGAGCTGCAAAGAAATGAGGGTTTTTTTTTTTTAATGGCAAAATGACAATTTAAACCTTCTTTAAAAATATATATAATTATCATAAATTTATTAACTCATGCAAATGGCAAGAAGTTGGATGTTATGTAGGACGTCACATCCTTGTTAATTTGACCTGGAACTTAGGAGAGTTTTTATATTTTAGCCCAATTTTTAATATCTAAAATTTGAATTTATTTTAGTTTTGATCCTGAGATTTAAAATAAGTAGTTTTGGTCCTAAATTTCACCTCATTTTGGTTTGGGTATCTAAAATTTGAGACCAGAGGATTTGTTTCCTGAAATTTGATATCATTTTGGTTCACTTAAATATTTTTAATCCGTGAAACAGTATTTTTTAAGGATCAAAATTAAAGTGAGATCAAATTCTGAAGATTAGAACTGTTGGCGGCTTCAAATTTTAGAGAGAACTAAAACAATAATCAGCTAAAAAAAACTAAAATAATGTTAAATTTCAAGAACCAAAATCATTGGTTTCAAATTTTAGAGATTAAAACGAAAATAAAATTAAATTTCAGTGACTAAGAATGATATTAAGCGTTGATATAACATGGTGGAAGAATAAATTCTTCTTGCAGGAATGACATTAATGTGATTTAAGGATGGCGAAAATATTCGGGTAGCTTAAATAACTCAATGTAGTATTACTCTCAGCAAAAGAATGCAATTTCATGTGTAAATTTCATCACGATCAAGTTAATAAAGGATGGAATGATCCAATGGATCGCACATTAAAGGAAACCCAAGGAACTCGGTTTGGCGAGGGCGCTACTTGTAAGTTGGCATGTGAATTCTTCATCAGAGATCGCTTTGATTCTCGTGTGGTTGAATATCAGAATTACATGAGAAAATTCAACAAATGGGATTAAAGCTAGAGAAGGGAGATTTCCTGCACTATGCCATTATTTTATCCAAATGCATCTTTTTTGGTTGGAAGGTTTGGTCTTTAATATAAGAAGTTGTTTGACTTTTATTTTGATCCTAAATATAAGATTCCAATCCATTTCGTCCCTCATATTTATTTATTTATTTATTTTAAATAGTCCTTGCAATAATACTGAACATACATTGAAATAATGAATGAACATTAGAAAAATCTCCAAACTAGGCTAGCACGGCAAGTTCAATAAAAAATTGAAGAGATAACGGATTTAATTGATTTTTAATTCCGTAAATGTGCCTTAGTCCCCTGCTCTCCAAATTCTGTTCTTACAAAGAAGTTCAGTGCTATGTCGTCTTCAAAAATTGTGCAGAGTTGGATGAGCCTTCGCTTGTCTTTAGTTAGAAATTGATTCAGTGCTCAATTATAGTGTGTACATGAACTTACAGCACTGTTTGAATCTAAAATTCTGAAACAAAGCAGAATTTGAGTTAGGATTGCAATGGAAGCCAAAATTAGGAAGGGAATAGG